TTTTTTTAATGTTTGTTTATTTTTGAGAGAGAGAGAGAGGGACAGAGTGCGAGTGGGGAAGAGCAGAGAGAGAGGGAGACACAGAATCTGAAGTAGGCTCCAGGCTCTGAGCTGTCAGCACAGAGCCCAATGGGGGGTTCAAATTCATAAACTGTGAGATCATGACTTGAGCTGAAGTCAGACACTTAACCAACTGAGCCACCCAGGTGGCCCATGTTGGAGGGTTATTTCTATCCCCCCCACCTTATAATAGAAATCCAACCTTTGGTGTGGGGGGAAGCCCTATTTCCCAAGCTCCTGGAAGAGACTGAGACCATTTTTAGATCTACCCTTGAACACCCCCATCCTGTATTCACCTGTTATAAGAGCTTGTGGCTCTCCAGAGTTGATACGGAGAATCAAAAGTCTGAGCACTCCATAATAGCTGCAGGTCAAATTCAATTCCTCCTAGATGGTCTGGAGTCATTATGAATGATTTCACATCAGGGAGGGTGTGATGCTCCATCACAAACTGTCCTATTTCAAGGGGAGACACACATACTTATTTGTGAGTTTTATAGTACTTGAGGTGAATCCCCTACTAAAGCCTTAGTACTGAATGAATATACTTTTATCAAACAATGACAGTTATACCTACCTTCTAACCCTTTAGAATGTATTTCACTCTGGCTGGACAGCATGGCATCTCACCCCAGTCTATCATCCTACTCATGATGGTCATTATGGTCATATATATTTATAAACAACACAAATGTACCTTGTAGAAATGGTGCCAAGTATATTCATAATAATAGGGGTCTTTATGGGACAATGTATGTCAAATAAACTTAGCTTTCAATTCCAAAATACATATTTCTTAGAGGCAGAAAGGTCCTGGTAGTTTATAAATAGAAATATCAAATTCAGATTTTAAAAAACTACACTTAAAGCCACTCAAGTCCTTGGTGAAAGGAAACAATTTTAAACATCATAAAGGTTATTCAGCAGGATACTTCTACTCCTTCAAACTGTAGTCATCCATTGTCATGAATAAATAAAAGTGGAGAGACTTGTAGATTGAGAGACTGAAAAAATATAACAACTAGAATGTATGTGGATATTGATTGGATCCACTTTCCCTTTATATAAACAGATATAAAATAAATACAAAACAATATGAAAACAAATGGAAAAGACACTTGTAGGACAAGAAAGGAAATACGAATATAGACTAGCTATTATTGGATCAATCTTAAATATCTTGATGTAGTGATACTCTTGTGATGTGTAAGAGAATGTCTTTGTTCTCAGGAGAGGCTTCTAAAGTATCTAGAGTAACTTGACAAGAAGTCTGCAGCTTGTTTTCAAATGTGGTACATAAATATGGGTCTGGGTGCATACACACATAGCAAAACATTAACAATTGTTGACTTGGTTTTTCATTGTTCTATTCCTTTACCTTTTGTCTGTGTTTGTAATGTTTCTTAATAAAAAATTGGAAAACCTGCACTGATATTACCTCTGAATTTGGCATGGGTCTTGAATTCAATGACGAGACGGCCATCTTCTCGGATATAGATTCTTATTATCTGAAGCCTTGCAGAGAGCACACTGTCTGTCTGGATTCCTAGGCAGGCAATCATACATGAAACATCCAAGTTAGGGCATGGAGATCTCCCACATAGTATCCTATATGTGAGTTGTCCCAGAGACACCTCTAAGTAAGAGCTGCACAGTCATTTGAATATAAGAAAAATGTATATATTCATAGCAACGTAGAATCTATTTAGACACATTTGCCAATTAAAACTGTATGACAGTTCATTCCACTGTTGTTGTTGTTGCTGTTG